TCCTTTTTCCAACAGAGTCTTGGCATTACTATTGAAAAAAAAAATCATATGACATAGAAGAAAAGGAGTGGAATACCATAAATCGGTTAGCATGCGAAACTATTCGATCGTGTTTGTCTAGAGAGCAAAAACATGCTTTCAAGAACGAGATTTCTGCATGAAACTTATGGAGGGCATTGGAGGAGAAATTTCTAAAGAAAAGTGGTCAGAATAAACTCCTTATGAAGAAAAGATTGTTTTGATTCAATTACCAACCAAGTATTACTATGAATGAACATATCACTATGTTTTATCAGTTAGTAGCAGACCTGTTAAATTTAAATGTAAAATTTGAAGCTGAAGATTTGGCTTTGATGTTGTTGTCATCCCTTCATGATGAATTTGAATATTTGAAGACTACGTTATTTCATGGGGAGGAGAATGTGTCTTTAGATGCTATATGTTCTGCTTTGTATAGTCATGAATTGAAAAAGTAGGATAAAATAAAAAATAAAGTAATTACAACAGATGAAGCGTTATAGGCAAGAGGTCGTCAACAAAGCCAATCAAAGGGGAGAAGAGCAAGGTCCAAATCGAAAAACAGAGTAGCCAAAGATGAGTGTGCTTTCTGTCATGAGAAAGGGCACTGGAAGAAAAACTATCCAAAGTTGAAGAAGAAAGGGAAAGCTCCGCAAGACGTAAATGTTGCAGAGTGTAAAAGTGATACGGAATCAGATTTCTTTTTGGTTGTATCACCTTCAACATCCCATCCAGATGAGTGAATTTTGGATTCAGATTGTACCTACCATATGTCTCCCATGCGGGAGTAGTTCTTTGAATTTGAAGAACTTGATGGTGGAGTTGTTTACATGGAAAATGACAATCCATGTAAAATAGTTGGGATAGGTTCAATCAAACTACGTAATCATAACAGATCCACCAGAATCTTGAAGAATGTTCGGTACATGCCGAATTTGAAGAGGAATTTCATCTTCTTGGACTCTTAGAGTCAAAAGGCCTGGAAGTGAAGATGCGAGATGAAATTTTTAAAGAAAATTCGGGAGTACTTGTGATGTTAAAAGGTGTGAGGAAGAATAATCTGTATTACTACCAAGGTAGTACAGTTGTTGGGACAGCAACAGCAGCAACATCTTCCAGTAGCAAAAAGGATGCGGAAGTAACAAAGTTGTGGCATATGTGATTGGGACATGCTAGTGAAAAATCTTTGCAAAATCTTGTCAAGTTAATATTGTTGAAAGGTACAAAAACTTGCAAATTAGAATTTTATGAGCATTATGTTCTGGAAAAACAAAGAAGAGTGAAATTTGACACTGGCATCCATAATACCAAGGGTATTTTGGATTATGAACATTCAGATATATGGAAACCTGCCAAGACTCCATCCCTTGGAGGCAGGTACTATTTTGTCACATTTGTTGATGATTTTTTCAGAAGAATTTGGGTGTTTACTATGAAAAACAAGGATGATGTGCTTGGGGTTTTCCTTAAATGAAAAACTCGGGTTGAAAATCAGACGGGAAGAAAGATCAAGATTCTTCGAACAGACAATGGTGGAGAATACAAGAGTGATCCCTTCCAGGAAATATGCCAAGAGTGTGGCATAGTTCGGAACTTCACAGTTAGAAGAACACCGCAGTAAAATGGGGTGTCAGAGGGTATGAACAAGACACTAGTGGAGAAAGTACACTGCATGCTGTCTAATACTAGGTTAGGCAGAAAGTTTTGGGCTGAGGTTGTAACATACGCTCAACATCTCGTTAATCGCTTGCCATCATCTGCAATTGGTGGCAAGATTCCATTAGAGGTATGGTCTAAAAAACCTGCAATAAACTATGATTCTTTGCATATTTTTTGTTCTACTGCATATTATCATGTAAATGAATCAAAGTTAGATCTACGAGCAAAAAAGTCTCTCTTTATGGGCTATAATATTGGAGTTAAGGGATACCGTTTGTGATATCTAGAAGCAAAAAAAATTATTATCAGCAGGGATATTGCCTTTGATGAATATGCCATGTTAAATAAGGAAACACAAGATGGGATCAGTGGTACTCCGCAACAGGTGGAGTGTACGCCGAAACAGGTGAAATTTGAGCAAATAATAGTGAGCCCAGCAAATAGCACTATCAGTGACTCTCACATGGCAGAAAAGAAGTCAGATGAGGAAGAGGTTTCTACACAAGAACCTCAACAGCAACAAAAGTCAATTGTCATCAATAGGCCAAGACGAGAAATTCAAAAACCTGCTCGTTTTGCTGACATATTGGCCTATGTACTTCCAGGTATTGATGATGTTCCATCCACCTTTTCTAAAGCAATTCAAAGTACAGAAAATGGTAGATGAAAAAATACTATGGAAGAAGAGATGAAATCTCGTCAGAAGAACAAGACGTGGAAGTTGACACAGCTACTGAATGGCAAGAAGGTAATTAGATACAAATGGATATTTGCAAAGAAAAAAGAATTTTCTGACAAGATTGATGTTCGCTACAAGGCAAGATTGATGGCTAAAAACTACGCTCAGAAGGAGGAAGTTGATTATAATGAGGCATTTTCTCTAATTGTTAAACATTCTTCTATTAGAATTTTGTTGGCCTTGGTAGCGCCGTTGAATTTGGAGCTAGTTCAATTTGATGTGAAGACCGTGTTCCTTCACGGTGACGTGAAAGAGGAAATCTATATGTTTCAATCAGATGGATTTAAAGTTGCTAGTAGAGAAGATTGGGTTTGTAAGCTGAGCAAATCATTGTACAAATTGAAACAATCATCGCGGCAATGGTACAAATGATTTGACCAGTTCATGATGGACCAAAAGTACACAAGAAGCAAATACGATCAATGTGTGTATTTGCGCAAGCTACGAGATGAGTCCTATATCTACTTACTCTTGTATGTTGGTGATATGCTGATAGCATCAAAGAGCCAAGTTGAAATTGACAAAATGAAGGCTCAGTTGATTAAAGAGTTCGAGATCAATAATTTGGGAGAAGCTAAGAAGATTCTCGGCATGGAAATAAGCAGGAATAGAATGAAAAGCAAGTTTTATCTAACACAGAAGCAGTATTTGAATAAAGTACTATAACGTTTTGATATGAATGGAGATTCAAAACCTGTAAGCACTCCGCTTGCTCCTCATTTGAAATTTAGTAGCCTATTATCTCCAAAGACGGATGAAAAACGAGCATATATGACGAAAGTCCAGTATGCTAATACCGTTGGTAGCTTAATATATGCAATGATGTGTACGAGATCCGACATTTCACAGGCAGTTAGTGTGGTAAGTAGGTTTATGCATGATCTGAGCAAGGGTCATTGGCAAGTTGTGAAATGGATTCTACAGTATATCCAAGATACTGTAGATGTTGGATTAGTATTTGGACAGGATGAATCACTTGGTCAATGTGTAGTTGGATATTGTAATTCTGACTATGTAGGTGACTTGGATACGCGACGTTGGACAACTGGCTACTTGTTCAAGTTTTCAAAGGTGCCAGTTAGCTAGAAGTCTACTTTGCAGTCAATAGTGGCTTTGTCTACAACAGAGCAAAGTATATGGCGATTATTGAAGCTGTGAAGGAGGCAATTTCGCTTCAAGAATTGCTTGAAGACTTGGGAGTTGGTCAAAAGCACATTAACGTGTTTTGTGACAGTCAGAGTACTATTCACTTTGGAAAGAACCAAGTCTTGCACGCAAGAACGAAACACATTGATGTTTGCTATCACTTTGTACGGGAAATTCACGAAGAAGAGGAGTTTATTTGCCAAAAGATTTGGATTACGGATAATCCTGCAGATATGCTGACCAAGGTGGTTATAAGGTTCAAGTTTGAACATTGTTTAGACTTGGTCAATATCCTGCATATTTGCATTGGTGCTGAGGGAGCAAATTTTGGAGGCACCGCAAGGACCGTTTGTTATTTTTTGTTTGAGTGAGAAGATTTATATTTCTGGTGGGATTAGAAATTATGCCAAGGTGGAGATTTGTTGACTTTTTGGCAAAAATTTTAGTCCCACATTAGTGGGATTGATTTTTTGGGAAAGGCATGAGAGTTATAGCAAACCAATTAAGGTACACCAAAGAGGAACACCAAAATTTGTATTCTTTCTTCTCCCAAATTATTAAGAGCGGGTCGCTTAGGTGGTGTCCGGAGGTTAGACAAAATTGGCCGAACTCTGTTATCAATTTTCGGGTGCGTTCTTTTCTTATCTTTTTTATTTATTCCGCATTTATTTAGTAGTTTCTTTTCAATTGTAGTATAGTATTCAATATATTTGTCGAGTTTATTTGTAGTGTTTTATACAGTTCTTTTGGATGCATTTTCTTATTCGTGTGTACGTACTATTTATATATACACGGGTCTAATTGTGATAATACACCGTACACGTAAATTTTGTCATAAGAAGATTGGGTTTTAAGTGGAACCGCTTGTGATCCATCCAGCCTTTCCTGAAAATTTACTTGGAATGGTAATTCTGTCTAATGAGATTGTTTTAACGATCTTTTTTGGGAATTACTAAATCGGTTTAAATCACTAGTTGAATTTTTGAGTGAAAAATTACCCGATTTCCCCAACATTGCCTTCTTTGAATCTGCAATTTCTTTTTACTCTTCACAAATGAAGAAGAGAAAGATTCGAGCAAGAACACATACCAATTTGGAACCAAGGACAATCAATCACTTTGATATATATCAAGCTAGAAAATGAAACTATACAAATTATGCGCTGATTAATTTAGGGTTATTAGCCTAAGAAAGGAGAGAAAAACAAAGCAATGCCAAAAGCTCCATCCATCCACTGTTCATAGATAGACAGAGCTTCACAGTATCTTTGAAACTTATCATCCCCTAATCTTCAAAATAAGCTATGCAACAAGACAAAGTTTACTTATTTAAGCAACATAGCTAATTGAGCTTACCTCTTCGGACAAGATCATATACACGAGGAAGCTTAGCAAGATATTTCATGATCATGGTAATTGTGAGGTGCAGAGTTGAATAGCTACCCCTGCACTAAACTAACTAAATGGCTAGCTATGTCTGTTTCACTGAAGAAATGACCATTATCATCTGTTGCAAGAAGCATGCGTGACATGAAGTCTTTTTTTGAATATAGATTCGTCTCTTCAAAAAGATCGATTTTTCTCTGTCTAACCATTGCCTCAACCGCTCTATGCATGAGCTTGGATGCCTTGATACCACGACCAAAAACTGTTCCTGGAAATTTATGGGCATTGAATGAAGACCATTCGCTATGTCCTCCGTTCCTTTTGCAAGTTCATCAATTTTCCCTGGATCGTTGATGCCGAAGAATATTTTACATGCCAAAATTAAAACGCATCTCTTTGCCATATATGGTTCACCGTCGCAGGTCGCGGTTGCATCGTGGTTTAGTTGTTTCATATCCGTCGCGGTATATCGATTAAATATCGGGTGATACGCACATTATACCACATGAAAGTTTCCAAAAAATTTGAAAAAATTACTAAAATTAAAAAATACCAAAAAATGCACAATTTGAAAAAATATTTGAGTCGACTCCGAATTTATTCAGATATATCGACCAATACCATGCATTACGAATTTGAATCAACCAATATCGGCCAATTCAGAGCGAGTAACCGCAGATATGGTAATATCTGTGATTCGGAAATCGATATCGTACCAGTTCCCTCAGTTCCGATTACGACTCAGCCGATATGTATTGGTATCAGCTGATATTGCTAACCATGTTGCCATATCATCAGCCGTGACTTGTACTTTGTTTTCCCAATCACTTTGCAGATGCTGTTTCATCATCTCATCCATAAATTCAACGTTTTCTCGAAGCCCATGCCCCTTGAGAATCACTGAATATAATTTACGTACTGTTTTTAAGTGCTCATTGTTCCCGTTGCCATCAGACTTGGGAAAGAATTTATCCGTGGCACTCGGAAGCCAACGTTGGACCAACTTTCCCTCGTTAGTGAAAAGAAATTTGTTCCCCTCAGCACTAGAGAGAATTGCCATCGGCTCACCAATTAATGATGTCCTGAAAATTTTAGAGGAATACTTGTTCATCCTCTCCTTGACAATCATATGAGGGACTGCTTGTTTTACTTTAAACTAATAATCCAAATTTTCACCTAGTTGAGGCAACCGTGTTCTCCCGAGGGGAAGCCTTGGCTCCTCAGAACCAAATGGTCTGAATATGCGGGACTTGTATCTAAGTGTAAGCTTGTGGAGACAGAGATAGAGGAAAAGAAGTTGAGGGAAAAGAAGCCAAAGAATGCCTGATTGTTCCATTATCACGCTTGGCTACTGCAGATGAGAATGGAAGCAAGTGCATTATTTTAGATCAGCAAGAAAAAGATAAGAAAAAGCTAATCGGACAAGTACTACCAATTGATAACTTTGGCACGAGTTAGTTTGTTTAGTTTCATGGGATTATATAATGTGCATGCAAGTGCCAGATTACCTTATCGATGAGGATTTCTTAATTATTTTTTTAAATTTTTTTTAAAGTAAAAAGTTTTGAAATAAAATCTCCTACTTATAATCCTTCCTACCTTATCACTGAACCCTATTCTCCCCAAAAGATTTCTTAATCGAAGAAATGGTTACCAAAAAAAGAGCACTTAACATAAAGAATGTTTCTGCCTGGTGTAGATCTCATAAATGAAATCATGATATTTATCTGAAAAAAGTTTTAAAGAGTGTCTCTAAAGACAATAAGATTCCAAACAACATTATCTTATACTACAAAGGCTTAATTACAACTTTGCTGCCTTAATATGGGTGAGTAGCGGATTATCCCTAGTAATATAGAAACTCACAAATTACCTGAATACATGGGTCGGATTTTATGTGTATAAAAGATTCAAAATGACACTCATACATAATATTTTGATAGGTTTATTTTTTTAGAAATGGTATTATGGTAAGTTTCTGCTGAAGAAAATTGTAGTGTCTAAAAATGATGACATAAATATAAATGTAATAATTGAAATTATTATTTTTATTAAATAAATTTTTTAATTAAAATTTTTCCATAAGAAAATATTAGTAGATATTTGAACCTTAACAAAAATTTTTAAGAAGGACAAACAAAGAAAAATGTATAAATATTTTTTTGACATTTATAAAGAAAAACGAATAAATATTTTTTGACATTTTAATTTGGTTTTAGTCCTGACAAGAGCCATCAAGCTTCTGATCGAGTGTCTAAAAAAGGGATTGTTGAATAACACCAATGCTATATATTATTTTTATACATAATTTTTTTTGTTGAAATAACAGGAAATTACATATTCATAAGAAGCATTTCACTTTTATTTTTCTTTCCTTTCCCTTATTAATAAATATTTCTTGATGTTCAAATATATATTGGTATTTTGTTGTGAAAAATATTTGATAGCATAAATTATCATTAGTAACTAAAAATTGATCTTGTAAAACTGGTTTATATAATTTATAGTTGTATCATGATTTCCTAGATACCACAAAATTCTGTATAGATCAAATATAATAACATAATTTTTTAAGAAAGGAAGAAACTATCAAAGCATTATGTATACGAGGGCATGATTGTCCTTTCACATCTCAAATACGCAAAAATTTAACCTACATGTTTGACCAATTGATTATAGGGATATATTTTTGGATAATAGGAGACAATTTGGTACTCAACCCATATTATGGGAAGGCAGCTTGAGATTAAGCCCACCAATAATTAAGATTATATTCAGTAGTTGAGAACTTAGATTACATAAAACATATGACAACTAAGAAGTGTACGGTTGAGACAATGAGATTAAGGTTAGAAACAGTTATATAAACATCTTTTTTTTTTTGTTTTGGAGATGATAACTGTAGTGTATCCTAATCTATCCTACACTAGGGGAGAGGATGGATCTAAGGAGATCCAAGGGGATCCGGAGGGGACTGAACCACCACTGGACCAAACGTGCACCCGCCTGGATTTTTGGAACTTAGATTACATAAAACATATGACAACTAAGAAGTGTACAGTTGAGACAATGAAATTAAGGTTAGAAACAATTATATAAACATCTACTGGTGGTTTTCCCACGCAAGGCACGGGGTGGTGCCCAGGTGATTTTTTTTTAAAAAAGTTATGAGAAGGTTGATTTTTTTTTTTTGTGGGTGAAGAATTAATAATACTTATTTTTTTGTTAATATTTAGTGATATTTATAGCATGAATCGTTAATTGGAGAATCATAGTCATGCAAGGGCAGCAACAAAATGGATATTTATATGAGCATGTAAATAAACCTAATGGTTGTTGACTTTTAGTTGGAAAAGCTATACATTGGCATCGAATCCTTGAAGAAGAACCTAGCTCAAACAATGATTAGGTAGCTAAAATTTAAAGAAAGAATAACAAGTAGAATATTGCTATTCTATTACCAGTGAATTAAATAAAGGGATAATTTCAGAAACGTCCCTTGAGGTTTTTGACAATTTCACTGAGCTTTTCTGAGGTTTGGAAAATTACACTTACCTCCCTTGATTTGATAGTTTTAGCAACAAAATCTTAAAATAATATTGACTTGGTCAATTTTTTAAATGAATACCCAAAAATGCCCTTGTGTAATGAGTTTTAATTTATTTCCTTATATAATTATAAGATTATAAGGAAAAGGTACTGAAGAGGTGATTTTTGACACGTAGCAGAACCAACCTAAATCAGTTCTCTCTCAAGTGAGGTGAGGTGAATTCACTTGTCTAAAGTGGATGGCAAGGCTTCTCCCCTGAGATCCCTCCGACGATCAAGTTAGTATATTCAAAGAACGAGAGAAATAATAGTATGTATTAATGAACAGTATGCTTACTTGTTGAGAGCACATGAGAAGTATTTATAGGGTAAGATTGGAAGACAGGACGGAGGGCCTCATGCTAGTAGGACCCAAGTCCTGGCCATTACGGCTCTGTCCCCTACCAGAAGGTCCGACTCTGACACTGTAGCTGCCTGGACATGATGACGGGGTCTTGTGCAGTAGCCATTAAGAGCATCAGGTGCTTTTCAGATAAAACACTAGTTCTGGGTGATGTCAGGCCCCCTTGACATCACCAGCATGTAGCCGAGGTAGGAGCCTAGAGGTCATCCATGCGGTAGGCCAAAGATTTGGCTGAACCCAGGGGTTATGTCCAGGCCATGGCCGCCTCATGTGACTGACGAAGTGAGATTACCTCGACACCACGAGGTGGCTGAGGTGAGCATTCTCAATAAGCCCCCCAAGCCTCGGGAGCTCAGGAGTTCGTGAGGTACTGAGGCTTCCCTGTGTTGAGGTCGTTCAGATTCGGGGACCTGAACCTGTTCCGGAAGGTGAGGGGGTGTGACACGTGGGTAGGTCAGTTGAGGGGACGTGGTGAGCAGATCGGTTATGGGTACCCGTTACGTCGTGAGATAGTGGGACGCTTCGTGCAGAGAGAGTGTTAGCTGAAAGGACGGGACATTAATGAAGAGAGAGAGAGAGACATGTTCTTTTGAATTTGAACGTGGCCGCCTCTTCGCATTATTGCCGCCTCTTCGCATTCCCCCGAACCACTATAAATAGGGGGTCCTTTTCACTACACTACCCATAACTTTCCATCTTCGCATTAGTCTTGCAAATTTGTGAGCGTTGTCAAGATCAGTCCCGTTAGCCGAGATCACAGCCAAAGTCTTCGTTTTTATCCGATTATATAGTCAATAATAAGTATCTTTCTTTTCATCTCATTTTTCACACATGGCCAAAACGGCTAAAACCCATAAAGAAACAATGAAACCGAACTACCAAGCCGAGGAAAGGCCTGACCCTTCAGAAGAAACAACCTCGTCCAGCTCTAAGGGGTGACGTCTAGCGCCGTGGAGGAGACGGCCGAGGAGGAAACCGCCGAGACAGCCCCGGAGTTGGAATCATCTGAAATGAGTGAGGGTGGTTCCGAGGTCGTATATAATAACGATCTCGGAACTGAAGTACCCCACGATGAGAGCGTGCTGGAGCCGGTCGCTCCAAAGGATGTCGCCAAAATTGACTTCGATAAGATGACGAAGTTTAAAAGTCACGTCGGGAGAGACAAGGCCGCAAAGGTGATAAGAAAATACCCCTTCAGGACGGGGTATCCTATCAGGTCGCCTGAGCCAGATGATTCGGCCAAGAAGCCCCCAATGGGTACTGTCGCGATTTACCTCTAGCAGTTGGAGGTCGGGCTGAGAACGCCGATGTCGAGATTCTTCAGGGACGTACTCCGGCACTTCGGCGTCAGGATCACTCAACTCACCCCGAACGTGGTCCGCATCTTGATGTTTGAGATGCTATACCGGCATCAAGAGGTGACCTCCACCGTTAACCTTTTTTGTCGATGCTATACTTTCAAGGCACACGGGACGGACAAGGGATGGTTCTATGTCTGCAACCGGAATAAGACCATCCTGCAACTCGTGGTCAACGCTCCCACTTCGATAAAGAATTGGAAGCGCGACTTCGTCTTCGTCACCGCCAGGGACTTCCCTAGGGATTTTTTGTGGAGGCCGCTCAAGTTGAAAGCAGACCCTTCCCTGGGGGATCATGACGAAGTGGCATTTCGAAAGCTAATGGGGTCAGGAATTTGGATCAACTGTTGGGATTACCTGGAGGCAGTGTTGGTCGATGCGGGGATTAGCTAAGTCGTGATCAACCCTGACAAGCCTCCTTTCTTTTCCACTAAACTTTCGAAGCCTTGTAACTTTTCTTTCTTAGCTTTCTTTTCACTTCAACTGTTACAAATAATAATATTTGCTTCTTGTGTAGTGGTTAAATTATCCGACATCATCACCTCCGATTCGGCGGAGGTGGCCAAGAGGAACAAGAGGAAGAGTTCAGACGAGACCTCGGCACCCCCGCCGAAGAAAAAATCTCAAGGGTAGATGGTCAAGATTACGGTGCCTAAGAGCACCCCGGCCACTGCAGCCAAAAGCAGTTAGGCCACAGCAGCCACAGAGTCCATATGTCAGTGCCAGAAGGGGTGCCCCTCGAGGGAGTTA